GGCCCCAAGATTCTGTAGTTATAAAAGGTCCCCAGGTTGTCATCTTTTAGTTACTAAATACGTAATTGCCTCCCAGTTAGAATGACTGTTACAGGATGGAAGAAAAGTTAATAAGAGCATAAGATCAATTTTTAAACTTCCTGTGTGGTCCTGTGGCTAGGATGCTGTGCTACCAATGCAGGGGGCCCAGGTTTGATCCCAGGTCATCTTTTTTTTTTTTCCAGGTCATCTTTGAGTTCCTACATACATAGTTGCCTCCCAGTTAGAATGGTTGTTACAAAAGGGAACAAAAGTTTATTTATTTATTTTTTGGTGTTTTTATCATGTATTTACAACATACCAATATAAAACTTTTTTTTTTCTTTTTTTTTTCATTTATTTTTATTAGTTGGAGGCTAATTACTTTACATCATTGCAGTGGGTTTTGTCATACATTGAAATGAATTAGCCATGGATTTACATGTATTCCCCATCCCGGTCCCCCCTCCCACCTCCCTCTCCACCCGATCCCTCTGGGTCTTCCCAGTGCACCAGGCCCGAGCACTTGTCTCATGCACCCAACCTGGGCTGGTGATCTGTTTCACCCTAGATAATATACGTGTTTTGATGCTGTTCTCTTGAAACATCTCACCCTCGCCTTCTCCCAGAGTCCACAAGTCTGTTCTATACATCGGAGTCTCTTTTTCTGTTTTGCATATAGGGTTATCGTTACCATCTTTCTAAATTCCATATATATGTGTTAGTATACTGTAATGGTCTTTATCTTTCTGGCTTACTTCGCTCTGTATAATGGGCTCCAGTTTCATCCATCTCATTAGAACTGATTCAAATGAATTCTTTTTAATGACTGAGTAATATTCCATGGTGTATATGTACCACAGTTTCCTCATCCATTCGTCTGCTGATGGGCATCTAGGTTGCTTCCATGTCCTGGCTATTATAAACAGTGCTGCGATGAACATTGGGGTGCACGTGTCTCTTTCAGATCTGGTTTCCTCGGTGTGTATGCCCAGAAGTGGGATTGCTGGGTCATATGGCAGTTCTATTTCCAGCTTTTTAAGAAATCTCCACACTGTTTTCCATAGTGGCTGTACTAATTTGCATTCCCACCAACAGTGTAAGAGGGTTCCAAAAGGGAACAAAAGTTTAATAATAGCATGAGGTCAGTGTTTAAGGACTTTCCAGTCACTTGTTCCACTAGCATTTTACATCTGACTCGTTCTTGAATATTTAACCAATAATTAAACATATCAATATAATTTCTGTACAACAGAGATAGCCTTCATATATTTAAAACAGACTTTCAGGAGTAGAAATAAGCTGGTTTCTTTGTGATGCAAATTTAAACATTAACATAATTCTAAATGCTGCATATATAGTATCAATCCCACCTTAAACTAGTAACTTAAATGTTGACTGTGTTATTGAGGAAAAAAATTAATCTCGGTATTTCTTGGCTCAAAAACACATTTTTCATTCATTTTTAATCCTCTGAACTGCCACTGAAACACAGCAAATAAATTGCAAGATACAACTTCTGGGTCCTCAATTCGAATATTAAATTTGCTGACCTTAACTAAATTGTGGCCAGGTATATGAGAGTACAAGTTAGAGCTAATGTATGAAGTTGTTTAAAAGAGATGGCAACTCCAGTATAAAGTGACACCTTGTGCTATTTTATTTTCTTCTTTTTTTTTCCTTTTTGACTGCACCACATGGCTTGTGAGATCTTAGTTTCCCAGCCAGAGTTTGAACCCATGCCCCTTGCAGTGGGAGCACGGAGTCCTCACGACTGGACCACCAGAGAATTCCTGGCGTTCTGCTTTTAGATTATTGGTGGTTTCCATTCAGTTGTTACAGTGCAGATGGGCTTGTAGATTGTGGGGACTGCTGCGCCATGTTAGAAGTTTCTGCTCCTGTAGGATCATGGCGTAAATTGCTTCAGACCGTTAACATTTTCAAGTAGTTTTTCCACTTAGGGTCATGCATTCATCATTGAACTTGATCCTTTTCATGTTCAAGGTTATGTGGGGTCAAATTATGACAGCCGTAACTAACACAGTAAAGGTTTTTTAGGTTGTTGGAGATTTTTTTACATTTATTTTTTGCCACACTAGCAGCTTGCAGAACCTTGGTTCCATCACCAGGGATAGAATGCCCTTGGCAGTGAAAATGCGCAGTCCTAAGCACTGGACCACCAGGGAATTACCTAAGCTATTTTAAAGTTTTATCTTGATGGGGTATTATAGGTTGTGAAGGCCACTAAATTTTAAGATACAGTTACTTACTATTGTAGTATGAGCAGAATTATATTAGTAATAAGCTGGAAGTTTCTAGTATCTTCCATCTGAATATTGCTGTTTGTTGCATAAGCATTTCCAGCAGGAATTTCACCTTAACTTGTGTGTCCCTGCAGTCAAGTACAGGGATGATCTTTGCCTCCTGGGAGTAGATATTGGCAGTCTTGTTGTGTGCTGCCTTGTGATCACGTTTCTTACATAGGTTATAGGGTTTGTTTCATGAACTAGACTCAACCATGAGTTTAAGAGCTGTGAGTTACAGAAATATTAGAACTAAATTGAAGGTTTAACAAATGAAATCAATCTACTACTTAGAAGAGGATTCTGTCTAAGAAATAGATTGAATTGATTGAATCTACCTCTTAGACAGTTTATGTATAACCAGTGACAGAGTTACAGTTCTGTATGGTAGCGTAAGTCTGGAAAATTAAGATTTAACTTAATATATGCATTTGTAGGGGAAACAATGCTTATTTGTTCTGTTAGCTGTCCTTGCATAAGACTCCTAAAAACACCTTAGTAACTTTCAGAGAGTCAGGGAAAGCTGTTTTGTACTTATGTTTACTGTTCAGTTGCTTTGATACTAAAACATACTCATCTAACAATATTTGAACGCCTACAGTATTCTGGGCATTGTTCTCAGGGTGCAGGTGAAATACAGGCTTTACCTATTCCTTGGTCTGTGTTGTGGCATTTATTTAAAATATTGTCAAGGAAAGGGGCTAAGACATGGTCCATTTAAGAGCTAATAAAGGAACTCTGGCCCAGAAAAGAAGACTCACTTGACTTAAAGATCTCCCAGCAGTTACACAAGAGATTTTTCATTTAGCTGATAATGCAAATTTCAGGAGGTACCAAAGGGTATTATACAAGGTGAAAAGTCTCCTTCCACCCATGCCCTGCTGTCTGGTGTTAGAAGTCTGTTATACCTTCCAGAGGCCTTTTCTCATGACAGCGGAACTCCATGTACGCAGTGCTGCACACAGTATGAATAGACTTGTCTCTTTCTATTGCTGATAAAAAAAAAAACTTAACTATGTACTGCAAGCATATCTGTAGAATAAATTCTTTGTAGTGGAATTTATGGGGTAAAAAGATTGTGTTTTGCCATTTTTGTTTGGTTTTTTTGTCGTCCCATGCGACTTACAGGGATCACAGGTCCCCAACCAGGAATTGAACCTATGCCCTTGTCCGGGAAAGCAAAAGCAGAGCTCAGAGTCCTGTCCACCGGACCACCGGGGAACCCCTGTGCTTTGCACTTTTGATATGTATTACCAGTTTGCCCTCCCGAGATTTTGTAAGTTTTTCCCTTTGTACTCAGCGGTGTATATAGGATCATCACAAAGTCTGGATGCCTAGTTGAACTAAAAATATTAAATGAACACTAATATTATATGGTATGTTTAGTGACGTTACATTCAGTTTGTCCTTACTAGCAGTGCACTAAGCACCAAATTTTCATTAATACCTGCTCGTGCACTTGCTCAGCTAGTAAAGAATCTGCCTGTGATGCAGGAGGCCCCGGTTCGATTCCTGAGTCAGGAAGATCCACTGGAAAAAGGATAGGCTACCCACTCCAGTATTCTTGGGTTTCCCTGGTGGCTCAACTGGTAAAGGATCTGTCTGCAGTGCAGGAGACCTGGGTTGGGAAGATCCCCTGGAGAAGGGAACGGTTATCCACTCCAGTATTCTGGCGTGGAGAAGTCCATGGACTGTATAGTTCATGGGGTTGCAAAGAGTCGGACACAACTGAGTGACTTGTGCTTTGACTTTTCATGCACTTGCCTCTTAAGTGATTTGTAGCTTTGGTTTGTTCTAGGTTTTTTGGATTTTTTTTTTTTTTCTTATTAAAACTAAACTTTCCACATCTTATAGTCACCCTGTATAAAGAAGCCCTGTTTCTTTACATTCTTTCAAACTTAGTGCATTTTTTTCTCAACTCCTTTGTCAATTTGATAGTTTAAAAAGTGGTCTCTCCAAGTGCTCTGGCCTGGTGCACTGGGAAGACCCAGAGGGATCGGGTGGAGAGGGAGGTGGGTGGGGGGACCGGGATGGGGAATACATGTAAATCCATGGCTAATTCATTTCAATGTATGACAAAAACCACTGCAATGTTGTAAAATAATTAGCCTCCAACTAATAAAAATAAATGGAAAAAAAAAAGTGGTCTCTCTGTGTTGTTTTTTCTTGCCTTTTTCTTATGAGTGAGATTAATTGAGCATCTTTTTATAGAGGTATTTGTTTCCTGTTTGTGATAATTTAGCCTTCCCAGTGGAAAAAATCATAGTTTACAATTCAGTCCCCCTCGCCATGCCCTGTGTGTGTGTGAGTGTGACTAAATAATGTGTACTTAGAGCTGTTTGCCCAAGCATCATTGTTCTCTTAGCTGTATACTTCAGATCTTGTAATATCCAGGAAGAGTTGCTTATATTGCTTATTGGAGCAGATTGGAGGGTAGGGGGTGAGTCCCATGCAGCCTGTGGGATCCTAGTTCCCCAGGATTGCACCCATGCCCCCTGCGCTGAAAGTGCAGAGTCTGAACCGCTGAGCCACCAGGGCAGTCCCTGTAGCAGATTAAATTTGTGCTGTATACAGACTGTTTATTTTCTTTAAATGTTGTGTTTGATTTGGAGACAGCTTCTTCATGTAACATGATTACAAAAGTTGCTTATTTAAGCTGCTTTTTTTCTCCCCAATTAGTTGGTGACAAAGTTCCTGCTGATATAAGATTAACTTCCATCAAATCTACTACTCTGAGAGTTGACCAGTCAATTCTTACAGGTAAATATTATGTTTTGGAAGGTGGCTTAATTTCTGAGGGCTCCCTCAGACTCCATGCTAATAATTGAACTGACTCTTGCCCTGCTGTCCACTTATGGTATCCCATCTTAACATTTCCAAGATGTTTATTTCATAATGCTTTATCAGTCTTTTTGCCAGTAGATGCCAAGCTATGATTTTAAAACAGTTGGCTTTCATCTCATAAGGCCTCCTTATATTTAAATTTCATTACAAATTAGTTTTAATTTAAGAAATTTTTTTAAAGGTTGAAAATTCCTTCGGTAGCCTGAGATAAAGTTGAAGTAGTGTTGTCGTCTCTCTGTTTTGTGGAAAGTGAATTAATTACCTAGTGTTTTTTTTCAGACAGGAAAAATAGACTCCAGAAATGCTAATGTCATACCTGATATACTTTTCAATAGTCAAATAGACAATTAACAAAAGTCAGCACCCTCCAAAATGGTGAACATTTACTGCCTAAAGTTTGAACACTAATTAGATTTGGGATTGTTCGGTACATTTTCCCGTTTTTGTTTGATAAAGGCACAGTCTAGGGTGGAGGGTTCACGTTAACTGGAAGTAAGGTGGTCAGAAGATTAACTTAAACACAATGCTAACCTGTATTAAATAGTGAGTAAATATAAAATTCAAAGAGTTATCTGATGATTAGTTTTCAGAAACAACTAAATGTCTTAGAAGTAGGGACGTGAATAACCTGGGCTCTGTATTTTTTATTGTTTCTTTATGAATAGCTTATCTACTAAAACTGCTGTTATCAGCAACAACCTGGAGGCTGATTAAGCCATAAAATGGTACTGAATCGATCAGATTGTATATAAAATTCTCATATTGTGTGTACAAAAATAATTTCCATTTATATAAAAATCATACTCTAGTTTTAGGCTAGATTGAAGAACCAGAGTCTTCTGTTAAATATTGAGAGTGAAGTTTGCTTCCTGAAATTTGAGTTAACAACTAGGGCCATATTTCACCCTCATTACATACCATTAACCCTTGAACAATGTGTGTTTGAACTGCATGTGTTCGCTTATCTGCAGATTTTTTTCATTAATAAACTAGTTGGTTGAATCCTCAGATGCAGAACTGCACATCCAGAGGAATCATGTATACAGAGGGCCAGGCCTAAGTTCTGAGCAGATTTATGAATGATGAGGGGTTGGCCCCCCAACTGCTGCATTGTTCAAGGGTCAACTGCATTTCATAGGAAATTGTTAGGTTGAAACCAGGTTCAACAAGGCATTGTGAAAGTTCTAAGAAGTGGTCTCTTATTCCATGTGGTCTTTTTTAGTGCTGCTGATTGCTGTTTTTCATTTTGGTTTATTGAAGTAGAATAGTTGATAAGTACATGCAAGTATTATCTAGAACAGTGTTTTCATTTCTCATCTTTGGCATTATTGAACAAAAACAGGCTTTCCAGTGGATGAGCCTCAGTATTCATATCTGTATCTACAGTTTATTCATTTTGTTAAAAGTATATATACTTTCACCTTTTTAACTATTAGAGTGTGTGTATATATAAGTGTACAGCAAATCTATATCTGCTATATTAGAGTATGAAATGATACTTGAACTAAATTTGAATAGTTAAGAAAATAAAGGTAATTGACTCGAATTTTACTTCAAAATTAAATTATTTTGATATTTTTTTTCTTGGAAATTAGTTTCTGTTACTGAATTTTACTAGTTTATATCATTTTGAATGAATTGGGCCTTTTTTCCTTTTCATGAGTGTGGTATTGGCATGAGTGAATGAGCGTACCAGGGTTCTAGGTGTGAATTACATAGATCTAAACAAACCTTCTGTATTGCCACCTGCTTAGGTGAATCTGTCTCTGTCATCAAGCACACTGACCCTGTCCCTGACCCACGGGCTGTCAATCAAGATAAGAAGAACATGCTCTTTTCTGTAAGTACTTTGGATAAGATTTAACCTTTAAAAGGGTGTTTCCTTTAAAATGACGTGGATGATAACTGTGTATAGCTCAATTAAAAGGTGTGTGTTTAGAAAGAAAGCAGATTGTGGCAAACCATTAATAATTGGTGAGTCTGGGTGAAAAGTAAAATAGATGTTTATTGTACTGTTCCAATTTTTCTGTTAAATTTTTTTGAAATATAAAGTTGGGAAATTTATAATTTTTGTTTTAGAATTTAAAGTGGTATTTCAAGTAGTAGGCTTTTTTGTGTGTTAACATGGGAATTTAACCGCCCATAGTAAATTCTTAATAAGTACTGCAGAGCTACAATGAAAATAATGAACTAGGAATTAAAATAGAGTGGGGAGGGAAACCTTACACTTTGAATACCAGTGCTTGAGGTCCTCAAGGGCAGCTCCTGGTCCTGGTCACCCTTCTTATTTCAGGGATGAAAGGAGAGGTGGAGTTGTTGGAGCCAGAGGTGGAGAATGCTTAGGGTTGAGAGCCATATAATGTTTGAAAAGTCAGGAACACAGAGGGGTTAAGCTCTGCTCCAGTCCAAAGCTCTCTGCAAGCCAGATCAGTGAGTAGAGATTTCAGGTAGGCCAGTGTAGAGGGCTCTGGGGCAAGTGGGTACCATTCTCTCTTCATGGAGAATCACAGAGAGAGATACTACACCACCTGCCCTGAGGTATTGTCCATCGTCAGAATTTGAAGGCTGGTTACCTGAGTAGTAGCCACTTGAGGGTCCAGTAGAATGTGGTGAGTAGAGAGTAGTAGAGAGGCCCGGTAGAGAGTCTGGGTGCCCTCATCAGAATCCACACAAGTCTGAGTTTATAGTCAGGATTTAAGTAGGATATGGTGTTAATCTCTTAACCAGTTCTCTCCTTCTGTCCTAGGGTACAAACATTGCTGCTGGCAAAGCCATGGGAGTGGTGGTGGCAACTGGAGTTAACACTGAAATTGGCAAGATCCGAGATGAGATGGTAGCAACAGAACAGGAGAGAACACCCCTCCAGCAGAAACTGGATGAGTTTGGGGAACAGCTGTCCAAAGTCATCTCCCTTATATGCATTGCAGTCTGGATCATAAACATTGGGCACTTCAACGACCCAGTTCATGGAGGCTCCTGGATCAGAGGTGCTATATACTACTTCAAGATTGCAGTAGCTCTGGCTGTAGCAGCCATTCCTGAAGGTCTGCCTGCTGTCATCACCACCTGCCTGGCTCTTGGAACTCGCAGAATGGCAAAGAAAAATGCCATTGTTCGAAGTCTCCCTTCCGTGGAAACCCTTGGTTGTACGTCTGTTATCTGCTCAGACAAGACGGGTACACTGACAACAAACCAGATGTCAGTCTGCAGGGTAAGTGGGAGTAGTTTAAGAATCTTTCTGAGTTATGGTTGTTGATTCATCGTAAGAATATGCCCTCATGTCATTAGAAGCTTTATTGTTACTGTTAAATTTTATTTTTATTGTAGTTAACAATGATTTGTTGGTTTCAGGTGTACAGCATAGTGATTCAGAGATATATATGTGTATTCTTTTTAGATTCCTTTCCATTGTAGCTTATTAAAAAATATTGAGTATAGTTCCCTATGCTATACAGTAGGTCCTTGTTGGTATGCAATAGTGTATATATATTAATCTCAAACTCCTAATTTTAACCCCTCCATTTCCCCTTTGGTAACCATAAGTTTCTTTCTTTCTTTATTTTTTTTCTATTTTTATTTTGTAATGAGCTAGTTTGTATCTTTTTTTTTTTTTTTTGGTTCCACATACAAGTGATATCATATTTGTTTTTCTCTTACTTAATTTACTTAGTATGATCTCTAGGTCTATCCATGTTGCTGCAAGTGGCGTTTTTCTCTTTTTTTAAAGCAGTTATTATAGTGTAGTTGATTTACAGTGTTGTTAGTTTCAGGTGTACAGCAATATGAGTTATGCATATACATAACATATCCTCACTCTAAAGATTCTTTTCCCATACAGGCCATTGCAAGAGTATTGCATGTGGTGGTGTGTATGTCAGGCCTGAGCTCTGTTTGCCCCTCCCCTGCTTGTCCCCTTGTAACATAAGTCTTCTACATCTGTGACTCTACTTCTGTTTTCTAAATAAATTAGTTTGTACCTTATTTTTTTTGGACTCCACATAGAACAAGTGACATTATTTTTATTTTTTATGACTAATACTCCATTGTGTATCTCTATACCACATCTTCTTTATCCAGTCATCTATCAGTAGACAGCTTGCTTCCATGTCTTAACTGATGTAAATAGTGCTGCTGTGAACATTGGGGTGCATGTATCTTTTCAAATTAGTTTTCATCATTTCTGGATTTATGCCCAGAAGTGAGATTGCTGGATCATAAAAGTTTTGATTTATAATTTGATACCTTTTTATGTGCTTTAAGCAAATTGAATTGTATCTGAGAGGTTATCTACATGAGTGATATACTTGTATTGAGGAAGTAACTATAAGCAGTCTGTAAATGTGTTAGGTGACTATGCTTCCTTTATTTCCCTGTTCTTCTAAGTTTATGTATGTTAACACAAGCTTCAAAGTAAGAATTGTATAAAACCAGCTAGTTGCCTGCCTACATAAAATTCTAATTGGTATTTTCTTAACACATTGAATGAAACATGTTTTTCTTCTTGAAAAGTAAAGAATTGCGTTTAACTTGCTTCATTTTGTGTTCATCCTTCCTTTCTCTTACGTTGTTTTGACTATCACTTTAGGATAAAATAAACTGTTTAAACCTGCCCTAAGCAGAAGAAAGAAATAATGTAGTGATGCAGCTGAATGAAGTTCTTTCATGTAATTCGATTTCCATAGGTTTTATTCAAACAACTTTGAGGTAGAAGGATGAGAAAAACAGTATGAACTTCCAGTTAGAAAATAAGTGTGTCATGGGTGTGCAGGGAACAGTCAGTAATAACATAGTATCTCTGTGTGGTGGCAGATGACAACTAGACTTAACGATGATCATTTTGAAATGTATAGAAGTATCACATCATTATCCCATGCACCAGGAAGTAATAACATAGTGTAGGTCAGTTATACTTCAGAAACAAACAGAAAAAGAGCAAATTTGTGGTTTTCAGTCTGGAGGGTGAGAAATTAGACGAAGGTGAACAAAAGGTACAAACTTCCAGTTAAGTATTAGGGAATGTCGTGTACAACATGATAAGTGTAATCAGCACTGCTCTACATTATATGTGAAAAGTTGTTGAGAGTAAATCTTCAGAATTTTCATCACGAGAAAACAATCTTTTCTTATATTGTATCTATATTAGAAGATGGATATTGACTGATAATCATTTCATGATGATTGTAAGTCAAATCATTTGTACAAGTCAAAGTAATTTTTCAAGAGAGACACAACTCATAAATGTTGAATGAAATTCATGTCAAAGATTCTGTTTGGGTCATTAGTTCAATGAGAGAAAATCAGCAAGATGGTAAAACTGGTTACAGGAACATGTGAGGAAGTCCTCAGTATTAGAATAGGACTAGTGTGTGTTAGATTATAAAAACTGGTTAATATACAGGGAAATAAAACTAAGTTTTATCTTTTATAGAGGACAAAAAGCCACAACTTCATAAAACCTGAGCCTTTTATACTAGCACAGTGAAAGAATGTTAAATTTTCCCAGCACACGAAATCTTTAAGTGCCTGTTAAATAATGCTTCTGAATGACATTGAAAGGACATGTCATCATCCCCTTGGCCTTATCTCTGGGTTTTAGATAATGGGTTTTTTTAGCATTAGAAATTGTTCTTGTTTTGATACATTGAACCCTCAGACTCTTTTCTTACCGAATTTAAATTTGTGGTAATTTTTTGATATACGCACCCTCAATTCTTTGTGTTGTCCAAAACCCAGATACTAATAGCTCAGTTGGTAAAGAAATAATGGACAGGTGTTCAGGTGGCAAGCTTCTAGCTTGTCTTAGGTAGATGCAGAGTGTAACTGAGCTACCTAAATTTTCTTTCCTTGGTCCCAAAAAATGTTGGATTTTTTTTTATATTTTCCCTTAAATAATTTGATTTCAAATGTTCTGTTAAAGAAACAGCTTGCCTCTTTGTTCTGTTTTACCTTTGGCGACAGAAAGCTGATGCTAATCAGTATTCTACAGGAGGTTTCTTGCAGTGGGTTGCATAACTGCCCTTGACTTAGGGGTACTTTCATCATGCAGTTTCTAAATGGTTTACTGGCTTGCAGTCTAAAAATGCCTGTGTGCATTCAGATTTAGTTTGTGTGGGTTAGAATTCTGAATGTCTTAGAATATTTTGTACTGTGGTGTAGACCCAAAGAGCTTCACTTTTATATACAGCGTCATTAAAGAAGTGACATATACAGCGTCATTAAAGAAGTGACATGGTGTAGTCATAATGATGCCAACTTGCTTTGATAAGTCTTAGTGCAGTTAATTTTTCACATGTGACTTTGTTTGAATCATATGGTAATACTGCTCAAGAGGTTAGAAAACATAGGCTCTGAGAAATTGTGCCATGTCTGAGGGTCCCACAACTTTTAATAGTAAGATAAAGTTCAGTTTTCTGATAGGAGAGATCAGTAAAACCTGTTTCTCTCTCCCACTTAATAATTGTGTAACCTCGAGCACATCCTTTAACCTCTTTTTATTCCTTTTTTTCCTCTTCTGTAAATGTCAGACATTTTTGGAAAGAGCTTTCTGCCAAAATTCCTTTTTTAGATGTTGTATCTGCTAGGAAAAAAAAACTGTAGGAATTGGTGATCTTGCTGCATGTGACCTTGGACATGAATCTTTTCCTCATTTGACACACCAATTATATGTGTTTGAACTAGAGCCTTTTACCAGGAGTCATCACAATTTTAAATCCCACAGTTTTAAATTATATATAATTTTTTTTTTAAATCCTTTTGTCTCACAGCTTTAGTTCAGTTCCCAGATTGATTTAGTTCTGAGTATACTTTTGAAATGAAGCTTCTGGAATTTAAAAGTATATGCTATATAATAAATCTTACGAGGCAAAGGAAGTTATTTTAAAATAAAATCAGATTTTCTTACTGACTATGAGTCAGAATGCTCTGAAAAGATTTTTTAAAGCATTACATGGCTCTTTTTTTACTTGAGTTTAACGTGTTAAAAATTCTTTATTGTAGAATGGTTTGATCATTCCAAACTGGGCTTCTGAATTACAATTGGAAAGCAAACCAAGAGGGGGAAAAAAATACCCTCACCTTAAAAAACTGGCTCATGTCACTTTATTATTCTGTAAAATTAAGAATTCCTTCCTAAAGCACGCTTCCATCTGTTATCGTCTTGGTAACATCAGTTCATTCAGCTCTGTGGGCTCCTTACTATATACATGTGGTTGTGCGGCTTCATAGAAAATGAGCTATTACCACAATAAAAAGTAAGTGGGAAGGAGTAGAGAAGCAATTTGTCTTATTTTACTTGGGGAATGTTTATGCAACTCTGATACGTGAGTTTATTCTTCCTAGGCTTTTACTCTTAGCTCTAAAGCGGGGATACCTAGGTCACTTTCTCAGGCTGCCATTTGGAATTCTGAGTATTCTAAAAAGTACTACTGAGTCTTCGGAACTGATTGGCCCAGAGTCCTCATAACTTGCTCTTCATGTATGTTCTCTTTCTCCTCTGCCTGGTGCCATTGCTGCTTATTTATTCAGCACCCCAGTGATGCTGTTTTTCAGACTGTTAGATGAATGGGGGAGGCAGTCTTTATAATAGTGTCTAGTTAGAATAAGGAACAATACTTCTCATGTTGAGCTTCGACACTTAAGTGAGAAGAGCCTTTTGTCTTAGCAAAGGTTATATGCTTCTAGCATATTTTTTTTTAATATCTTTTAAACACTTAGGCTTTTTTTTTTTTTCTGTAGATGTTCATTCTGGACAAAGTCGAAGGTGATACCTGTTCCCTTAATGAGTTTACCATAACTGGATCAACATATGCACCTATCGGAGAAGTGTGAGTAAACCTTCCTTGTCTTTTAAAGGCTCCACGTTGGCAGTTTGGTGCCTGTATAGACTTGCAGTGTCTCTGAAGTGTTTGGATAGTTTTCCTGATGTAGCTCCTGTTGGTTATCAAAATGGCTTACTTTTTAAAAAATAAAAATTGGTAATGCATACCTGAAAATTGATATACAGTTGAAATCGATTGTTTAAGCCAGTGAACCTTTTTCGTCTTTTGAAGCCTAAATTTTCAAGTGTAGTTTCTGTTTAAGTGGAGTTTTGGGGGTGATTTTTTATTTTTGTTTGTTTGCCATGCCACACAGTTTTCGGTATCTTAGTTCCCCAACCAAGAACCAGACCCAGGGTCCCGGCAGTGAGAGCACCAAGTCTTAAGGACTGGACCACCAGGGAATTCCTGTTTTTTTCTTTATGGATACCAGTGGTGGAGGAATTTCAGTAACTGAGAACTTCTGGTCTTTACTGATTAACTACTGATACCAGAGCCACATTCTGTTACCGTCTCCAGCATCGAATTTCTAGGAGCCATCACTTGAATTATTTTGAATGCTTGCCAATCTGTTGTACACAAAATTCTATTTTTTAGTAAAAAAATAAATAAAAATGACTACAGTTGACCACAGTGTGCTTTAAGAGTAACTTTTTTTTCTTCTTACAGACATAAAGATGATAAACCAGTGAAATGTCATCAGTATGATGGTCTTGTGGAACTGGCGACAATTTGTGCTCTTTGTAATGACTCTGCTTTGGATTACAATGAGGTGAGCCTCCTCATAAATGAGAAACTAGACCTGGCTGTTTCTAGTTCAAGGGTGCAGTGGGAGGGATGAAAGTCTAGCCTTCATTCCTCCCCCCCCTTTTTTTTCATTCCTCCCTTTTTGAAAGTACGAGTTCCTGATTTTATTTGCCCTTTCCATTAAGAGCTTGTCTCTTATCAGAGCCAGCATGATCTACCCCCCAAAAGCTGGGAGCCTTTCATATATTCTCTGTGGCTGAGCATTGCAGTTACTCAACTCGGAGCTGTAGCATACATGATGTTCTCTTCTGTGTGTAGCTTAGTTACTATAAATGAGTAAAACCCAAGATGCTTTTTCCTGAAAGTACAAGGTGTTGATCTTGGCTCTTTCAGATGGGTATCATTGCATCCTTGAGGACAAGTTGAGGCTTAGAAGGTTGTTTTGATGATGTTATAAAAATTTAACCAACAGAAAACCTTCTTTCCTCCCTTTTTAAATTATAAACAGTGAGATACATTTTTTGGTTTCTAAAGGCAAGCCAGTCCCCAACAGAAACAGAATATAAATTATGTAGAATGATAAATAATGACATTGAATTACAAATACTATTTGCAAGCTCTCATGTTTCACTTAATACTATGATTATTGGCTTATAGTTCAGGGGAATTAAAGACATAATTATTAGAAAAAGATCTAATGCACACCTGTCCTTTGAGTTTATTTTTAATCATTTGGATCATGTGCTACAGAATAGGATAAAAATGACCCAGAGAACAATGATGTAATGGAGGGAAAAGTCTTTATTAAAGAAAATTTACTTGTTTTTACTACTTTTCCCTTTTTGTAATTTGTATGCTTTCTGCTACTACAGGCGAAGGGTGTGTATGAAAAAGTTGGAGAAGCTACAGAGACTGCTCTCACTTGCCTGGTAGAGAAGATGAATGTATTTGATACTGAATTGAAGGGTCTTTCTAAAATAGAACGAGCAAATGCCTGCAACTCGGTCAGTATTTGAACTTGGTGTTGTTCATGCTGCCCATCAGTCCACTCACTCACTCTCTTAGACAACTTACTCTATACTTTATTTCCTCAAATTCTCTCTCAGTATCTCCTTCTCCGTCTTCACTATAAGATAAATTGATCTGGCCATTTGACCAAGAAAATAAAAGTTACCAATGGACAATTTCCATATGCAGCCACCTGTGCTGTGACATGTACTCTCTGCTCCCAGTAAAACCCAGCTGCTCCTTGTCCCAGCATCTTCTCTGCATTATCAACCTCCTATCTCTACTGGATCTTCATTAGAGAAATAATAGTTGTTTTTTATCTTCAAACTTTTTCACTTAAGCATCCTGCTTCTTTTCCTTTATGGTAAAACATCTCAAAGAACCATTTTCATGTATTATTTCACTTTTCCCGTTTTCTTGAGTCCACTCCAGTCAAGCTTTTGCCTCCTTCCAGTCTATCAAAACTTCTTATCAGAGTTGCCCATGACCTTGTGTTAAATGGTCTAATTGTTTATGCAAGTGTATTACTAACACATTTTAAAGTTCACAGAGCAAAAGTTGACAGAAATAAAAGGTAAACTAGACAAATTTACAATTAGAGTTGGAGATACACCTATCTCAAAAATTGATAGAACAAGCAAATGGAAAAAATCAGGATATGGAGCAATACTTGTAAATATACTTAATCCTTATTTCTGTTGTGCTGCTCCTAATATGCTTTTCAGACCCATAAGGAACAATTTACCAGAATACACCATATTGCTGGTCCATGAAGCAAGACTCTACAAATTACAAAGGATTGTACAGGCTGACCACAATAGAATTAAACTAGAAATCAATTAAAAAGATATGTAAGTTTCCATCTGAAGAAAACGGAAAAGCAAATACAAGTAGAAGAAAGTAGGAAATAATAAAGACAAGATCAAAAAGCTGTTCTGAAAATTTTTATATCAATAAATTTGACAGCATAGAAGAAATGAACAAATCCTCTCAGTAGCACAGCTTTTTAAGCTGACAGTTTCCTAAGAAAAATGGAATAATCCTTTGCCTGATAAATTAACTGGATCTATATTTCAAAATCTACACTTCCCTTCAAATTATTCAGGCCCAGTTGTGCCAATACTGAAGAAATAACAAGTTTTCAGGAGTTCCCTGGCTGTCCAGTGGTTAGGACTTGACACTTTCTCTCTAGCTGCACAGTGTGGCCACACCAAAAATGGCAGAAAACAAAACTTTTATCACCAGCATAACCCTGATAGCAAAACGTGACATTGATGTAACTTTCATAATACAGAAGTAGAGATTCTCAGCACAATGTTAGCACATTGAATCTAGTAGTAATTAAAACTTTGACATGCTGTATTTATTTGAGCAGAATTACTACAACTATGGTAAGTGGAGTAGCAATACTGGGGGGTGCAGGTGTGTCTGTTAGGTGTGTGAACACTAGACAAGTGTGTGATCCCTCAGCTGTTCTCCCTGGCCTATCAGAGGCCCAGAGCCAGGATTTTCTTAGGCTGAGCAAAGTGGCAGGCAGGACGGACTGGCCTGTTAAGGACCCAGGTGCTGGAGGTCGACCAGATGGCCATTGTCTGCCAGCAGCTGTTGCAGATGGTTTTATTCAGGTTTAGCTGCACCAAGTGTGTGAGGCCACAGAATCCAGTTGACTGGTCATTGCAGGACAGGTCCAGCATGTGGTCCCAAAAAGGGCTGGCAGATCCATGACATGGACCTTGTTCAGGTTGCTGAGGCTCAGGCCTAGTGTTTGCTGACCAACTTGTCGCTTATGGTCATGGTGATACCAGCTGAATGGACCTAAGCAATAACCTCTGTTCTAGCCAGAGTGGTGAGTGGTTGCTTAGCTGAGAAGCAGAGTGAACAAGATGTTAGCTGAGAAGCAACATGTGAACAAGATGTTACCATACACGAAGGTCAGAGTGACAGGCAGTGGCAGGTAGAATTAGAACAAGAGGAAGAGAAGAAGCCTAGATGCCCAGAAGCAACCTAAGGAAGGTCAGAAATGGAAGCTGCAGAAGCCAGAGAATGTGGGTTGAAGGGACTGTGAGGACAAGCAGGAGCAGAAGAGATCTAGGAGGAAACAAGTCAGGCCCTGAAGTCTGCGTCTGGTCCTGCCCTTGCAGACCTGGAAGCACAGAGCCCCTCTGCAACACTGTCTCCCTGCAGTGCATGCAGGATGGTGTTAATGTGGTCTGCATTGGGTCCTCTAGACCTGTTCCCAGTAGCCACTGCCTCCCAGCCTTGGAGTTCAGGTTTCTTCAGAGTTGGGCTCTGCTAAACAAGCTCTTAGTGTCAGACCTATATGCCTGTCATCTCCAAGGGGCAGCCAGTCAGTGCTTCAGGCTCCTCGTTGTAGCACTTTAGTGCTACTCTTCCTTCAGTCAGGGTTTTCTGGTAGAAGAAAGAGAACCAGGAGGTTATAAATACAGCCTTCCTAGTTATACAGAAGCAAAGCTTATTTCAGCTATCACTATGGTGACTTTTTTTCATCCTTCCTTAGGTATCCAGGGCAGATGAGGCAGTGTTTTGGGGGAGTAGGGTGGCACCTCACAGCACAGGTAGCCTAAGGTGGGCAACAGTGCACCTGTTAAAGACATCAGCTATTTAAGCATTTAGTCACCACACCAAATCTCAGGTTGTAAAAAGGACTTTAGGACCATCCAGTCGAGTCTCACACTTGCAGGCAGGGAAACTGAGGCCCTCAGTGACTTGCATGCCATCTCGCAGTGTGAGGCAGAACGGGACCCTGCTCCAGCTCTCTGTTTTCTTTACATCAGTGTGCCTCTTTTATACTCTCCAGGGAAATCAAAACTCGTGCCAGAATGGAAGATGCCTCAGCTGAAGTATAGAATCTTTCACAGTAACTCGATTCATGCTTCACAACCAACAGTCTCACAGCCACAAGGGTCTTGGGCCTCTCCTGTGGCATCCTTCCCAGACTCATGGTTTCCATGAAACAAGTCCAGGTCCTTTGTTTCTGTTTTAGGGAATTCACCCCACTTGTCAGTAAGCAAAGCCACATTGTCTGATAGCTCTGTTACTAGTTGGTGTTTGATTAAACCCTTCAGAGGCAACCTGAAGATTTCAGCTTCACAGAGACTGATGTTTAGAATTACTTAATTACCTCTAACTACTCAATGAAGGGAAACAGCCAGCAGCAACAGCGCAGGACCAGCTTTTTAAGGCCAAGTGGCCCCTTTGGATAGAACTGCTGAATTTCACAGCCCTGGTTCTGGAAGCAGTGGCTTTGTCCTCTCCACCCAGGATGTATCCAGGTGGCACTAGTGGTAAAGAACCCACCTGCCAGTGCAGGAGGTATAAAAGGTGCACGTTCCATCCAAGGGTTGGGAAGACCCCCTGGAGGAGGGCATGGCAACCCACTCCAGTGTTCCTGCCTGGAGAATCCCATGGACAGACAGTAAGTACATAGGGTCACAAAGAGTCAGACAGACTGAAGTAATTTAGCATGCAGGATGTATCTGGTGCCGAGGTCACACCTCACTCAGAGTCACTGCACGTTCTTGCAGTCTTCCCAGAGCCATTGGTACAAATGCTTAATGGAAACTAGATACATGAGAATTCCCAGTGGTCAAGACTCTGCGCTACCTCTGCTGGGAGCACTGGTTTGATCCCTGTAAGATGGCTGTGTGGTTGTGTGCCACCAACCCCCCCCCACCAAAAAAAAAGACAAATAGATAAGTGATATATCAATCAGATAACGTTGAATTTAGTGATTGTCCTTTTATTGCTCTGGCTGAGAGGATGGCTTCATTCCACTCACAGTTGCCTCTGTTGGTTGCTGAGGTTCTTTGGGGTTTTTACAGTTATTATTAAATGTTTGTCTGAATGAGGGGAAAATCCATGTAACTCACCACATAACTGAAAAAAGGCAGAATATCATAAGATCCTTTAAATCAGAAAAGGCATCTGATAAAATTTGATCTCAGTTTATGATAAAAACTAAGCAAGCATCTTCTGGTTGATGGTGTAACTACACAAAGTTAACATTCCTAACGGGCAGGAGAATTTACTCTCAACATTTCTATTCAGTGTAGTACTGGCAGCCCTAGTTATGTAATGAGGTAAGAAAAAGAAAGCCAACAAAAAATTGGAAAGGATAAATGAAGTATGTTGATTTTACGGTAATATGGCTGTATATATAGATAAACCAATGGAATCTGAATCTAAAGGTTAATTCTCAGTTTTTGTTTTACCTGAGCTGTCAGTTTATCCTCTCAGTCTCTCCCTCCCTAAAAGAGTCCTTTACTTGTTCTCCCCCCAACCCTATCTCCTTGGCTGTATCTTCCAAGAGGCTCCAGGGCCTAGGCCTCGGCTTTCCTGTCTGCAGTTACTCCCTTGAACTCTTCTCATGACTTTAAATACTGTCACTGTGCTGACATCTAATATAGCCACTAGCTGTCTAAAAGTATTTAAAATACTGAAGTGATGTGGTGTTCCTTGCCCTTCTTTCAGCTAATTCTTAACATAACTGCCAGAGCTTGAAACTCTCCATTGTCTTCCTGTTTCACTTGTTAAAAAAGCCAGATGCCTTACAGTGACTTTCAGGATTCTACAACCTGCTTCTGCAACCCCTGCCATTAACCCCTAACCTTTTTTGCAAACTTGCTTCCAGCCGTGTTGCCCTGGAGGCTCCTTGAACTGCTCGGTCGGTCAGTCTGCATAATGTTTTCTCTGCTCACACACACACATCCTTCATGTTTTGACTCATATATTGCCTTCCCAGTACTGTATGTAAAAATGTAACCTAAACATACATAATTTTCTCTTCCTTGCTTATTTTTAAATTTTTTCTCCATGGCACTTATAATCTACTTCACATTCTAGTGTGTCTTTCCCATACTACAGGGTAAGTTTTATGAGGGTGGGAACTTGTCTGTTTATTGTCTATTGCTAAATCTCCAGTGTCTGTCACGTAATAGGTATTTAGTGAATGTTTAACTGTTAAAAGTCAAAAGTTTTTAGAAATTGCTATCCAATAATATTCCATATATGTTCTCTTTATAGGTCATTAAACAATTGATGAAAAAGGAATTTACTCTAGAGTTTTCACGCGATAGAAAATCAATGTCAGTTTATTGCACACCAAACAAACCAAGCCGGACATCAATGAGCAAAATGTTTGTGAAGGCAAGTACAGCAGCTTGCAATTAAATGTTCTTACCAGGATTGGAATCCTGAGTGAGCCAGTAAATAAAATTGTTCTAAATCTAACATTTCCAGGGTGCTCCTGAAGGTGTCATTGACAGGTGCACTCACATTCGAGTCGGAAGCACCAAAGTGCCCATGACTCCTGGAGTCAAACAGAAGATCATGTCTGTCATCCGGGAATGGGGCAGTGGCAGCGACACACTGCGGTGCCTGGCCCTGGCCACTCACGACAACCCACTGAGGAGAGAAGAAATGAACCTCGAGGACTCTGCCAACTTTATTAAATACGAGGTCAGCTAATGAGAAGCTTCACCCGCACCCTGCACATTCATTCTGTTTAGGTAGCCTCCTTCAGTGAAAGGTCAGATGAGTCTTGCTTTTGCTGAGAAAGGGGTGTGGTTATTTGTTTTCCTGCGGGCCAAATGTATCCTCTTTATAATTTAAGTTGCTGCTTCAAACATACACAGTTAACAGTTTAATACAGGCCTATTACTTTCAAAGTACAGTCAAGGCTAAAAACATGTTGTGCTGCTCTCATGTAAATTAAGATAATTTAAAATTGGGGACATTTTCAGACTATTCATTAATTACTGACTCACATTGTTCATGTGGCAAGATTCTGTCTACTTCTGCTCTTGGAGTTCTTTCCTGTCGGGTATGTGGCTTCCTGAAGCCTTGAACAGTGAAGTTTCTAGTTCAAATTTGATTACTATGGGTCACTGATTGGCTGCTGTCAATATGTTCCTGTTCCTCAGTATATTTTTTCCTTATTTAAGAATATTATTAATGAAAGCTCAAGAATTATTTGGTAACAAGAATGTAGTGATATTTTTGCTTCTGATTTATTAGAGTTAATACTATTCTTCATTGGATGTATATTAACATCAGTGGTGTGAATTCTGCCAAAAGAAAATGCAGAAACCTTTGCTCTCCACACTAGGGGGAAAAAACTAAAATTTCCTGTTTTGACAAAAGGTGATTCTTTCACTATAGACCAATCTGACTTTCGTCGGCTGTGTGGGCATGCTGGACCCTCCGAGAATTGAAGTGGCCTCCTCTGTGAAGCTGTGCCGGCAGGCAGGCATCCGAGTCATCATGATCACGGGCGACAACAAGGGCACTGCTGTGGCCATCTGCCGCCGCATTGGCATCTTCAGGCAGGACGAGGACGTGACAGCAAAGGCCTTCACTGGTCGCGAGTTTGATGAGCTCAATCCTTCAGCCCAGAGAGAAGCCTGCTTGAATGCTCGCTGTTTCGCTCGAGTTGAACCTTCCCACAAGTCTAAAATTGTAGAATTTCTGCAGTCGTTTGATGAGATTACAGCTATGGTGAGTGTCTGTAGACATGTAGAGGTAACACACTGCACAAATACAGCAGATTCTAATTCTGATCATTAAATTTTTAGTAATAGCTCCCATATTTGGAAATTCTTTTTTTGTCATGATCTGGGCTGTTTCTCAAGGATTCTGTTGGCATGTAAGATTCTGGGGAAGTTTAAGACCTAGAAGCCTGAATCAGTCACAGGAGAACTATTTGTCATGGTTAAAATGTATGTGTTTTTATCTCACGTTTCTAAAACCTGATTTAGGACGTAACTACTCCGTACTCTATCACATATTGGGAAAACCTCCTCTGAAATGAGATGGTACTGGTGATGCGTTCTCTGAGAACAACCTGTTGATGAAGCATTTCCCATATTCTTTCCTTGCATATGATTTTTCACTAAGATGTTAACATTGTGTCATGCTTGCTTTTGCTGCTTGTGTATGAAAGGTTTCAGTTTTTAAAACAATTTTGTTGCTGAAAACCAGCTGTTCTAGTTGTCTTCCTCTTTCTTCCCCTCCCCTTCTTTCTCCGAGGAAAGCACCATTCTGAATTCAGTACTGGGTGTTTAGTAAAAGTATAGAAAACACACATGGGGATGATAGTTTTGTATCTGTAGACGATATTTAAGTATTTTTGCCCTTTTTTGGCTGAAAGTGGCATATTTTTGCCATGTAAATGGCATATTGTAGTTTATGTATTTTTGAAGTCTGCATTGGCTCTATTTGAGATTTACCCATATGGATACAAGTATTTTGTCTTGATTGCCATGTAGGTTGTGTTGTGTTTTGTTTGGTAAAATAAGTAATACAGATTGTTTGAAGTCCCCTTTGTTCTACTTCCTCTGAAGTGTAACCTGTAAGTTTTGTTTGGCAGTTCCACATTTCCCAGGTTAAAATGTGTTCTGTGACACCAGCTTACAAAAACGAAAACTCTCCCAGAAAACTTAGGTGCCCAGAGGTCCAACAGCTCCATTCATTCCCTGGCTTCGGTATGGCCAAGTGATTGTTGGCAGTGTGTGTGTTAGGTAACGGATGTGCAAATCAGTGGTGGGTTTCTTGGCCTTTCAGACTGGAGACGGTGTAAATGATGCTCCTGCTCTGAAGAAATCTGAGATTGGCATTGCTATGGGCTCTGGCACTGCAGTAGCTAAAACAGCCTCTGAGATGGTTCTGGCTGATGACAACTTCTCCACCATTGTGGCTGCCGTGGAGGAAGGACGGGCCATATACAACAACATGAAGCAGTTCATCCGCTACCTCATCTCCTCCAACGTCGGGGAGGTTGTCTGGTGAGTCCCTGTGAGATGGCGTTTCCCTCAGCTGGGGGTTCACGTGGCAGCAGCTTCGCTCTCGGTGCAGTGGGAGGGGTGGGCGGCTGGCGGAGGAGGCTGCGGCCTCTGTGGAGGTAAAGGCGCTTCTTCTGGCCCCCAGGAGGGCTGCCTACAACTGTCCTAGCATGCAGAGGACACACTTGAGCATAGAAAGGGGTTTAAATTAACTGTATAAACAACGTAAGATTCTTGGCTTCTAAAAGTTAAGTTAATTTGGGTATAATAAACATTTTATGATTACTCAGGGGAAAAGTTATTTCAACTAATCGTTGCTGTCGACCGATTTTTATGGAAGAGGAGGGGATGTCGATGTAAAATAGGGGCCAAAAATAATTTGGGGTTTTTCTCTTCTTTCCTTGGGTGGACACAGTATTTTCCTAACAGCAGCTCTTGGATTTCCTGAGGCTTTAATTCCTGTCCAGCTGCTCTGGGTCAATCTGGTGACAGATGGCCTGCCTGCCACTGCACTGGGGTTCAACCCTCCTGATCTGGACATTATGAACAAGCCACCCCGGAACCCAAAAGAACCACTGATCAGTGGGTGGCTCTTTTTCCGTTACCTGGCTATTGGATGTGAGTATGGTTTTTTATATTATTGATTTTTTAAAAAATACTATTTATTTGGCTGCACTGGGTCTTAGCTGCGGCATATAGGATCTTTAGTTGCGTCATATACACTCTTGCAGCATGTGGGATCTAGTTCCTGACGAGGGATCGAATCCTGGCCCCTGCATTGGGAGCATGGGGCCTGAGCCACTATATTATTGATTTTTAAACAAAACGTTTATGAGTCCAAACATTTCATAAATTCATCCCTTAAAAGCACATTTTTTTTCTATCCCCATATTAGGGTAGCAAAATATGGCAGCTGTCCTCTTTCAGGTTAATGAGCTGTGAATCCAGTTTACAGTAAGGTTATCCCTCGTTTTAGCGCTTTTGTTCTTCCTTTGGCCTTTGTGAGTTAGGTTCTCAGATTTAACCCATGGGCAAAGGGAAACAGAGGGACAGCTCAGGCCTTGCCTCACCAAGATCCCCTTTCCCCGAGTGAGAGAAGGGTTCTGCGCGTTTATCAGCAGTGCTGGCTCCCCTATATGTGTTGTCACTGTCCACCTCATCCTGACCTGGATGCCACTGCTCGCTCGCTCATTTCGTAGGTTAGGAAAGTGAGGTCCAGAGAGGCTAAATGACCTCCCTAGGGTCCCATAGGGCTTCCCTGATGGCTCAGTGGGTAAAGAATCCACCTGCAATGCAGGAGACGCAAGTTTGATTCCTGGGTTGGGAGGATCCCCTGGAGAAGGGCGTGGCAACCCAATCCAGTATTCTTGTCTGGAGAATCCCATGGACAGAGGAGCCTGGCAGGCTAGAGTCCAAAGGGTTGCCAAGAGTCAGACAGGACTGAGCGACTGCACACCAACAGGGTCCCATGGGAGACTCAGTAAATTGACATGACCTAACACTCAAAGCGTAGAACAGAAGGACTCTCAGCCAGCCAATACCCCTGCAGCACAGTGTATCATGTGTCTTCCCAGCAAATAGATTTATCTTATGTATTTATTTTCGCAAGTGATGGTGTGCTGTAAGCACCTGTATGCTGAGCCTCGTCTTGGCTTTTTTCTCCCTCTTTGTTGGGTAGTTTTATGTCAGTGCACCACCTGCCAACTGTTTTGTTGTGATTGCTGGGCTAGATGGTGTGCGCGCTTGGACCTTGAGTGGCTACTACTGCACTGGGACAGTCTCTTCTTCTCAAGTCCCCGTGTTCTCTACTACCCTTTGTTGCTTCTTTGTAATTTGAATTCAGAAGTAATTGGTGGGGGGGATAGTCCCAGAATTGGCTTTGAGCGCTGTCAGGAGCTTGGTGTTCTGCACTAACTGCTCTAATGGCCTTTCCATGTGAAGGTTCTGCCAGGCCTTTGACGGAGCAAAGACACTAGAGTGTAACTGGAAACCCTGGCAAGTTTGCCAAGCAATCATGGAGGGGCGATCTGGTGTTCTGGCACAGCGTGGCATCACATGGAGGACAGGTACCTGCAGCCTTAACATACTGGCTGCTGGTTAGAGAGGGCATGACTGGTGTAAAGGTCCTCCCAATTCTAGTCGTTCTGGTACGTTCTTTCCTTCGCAGATTCTTAAAGGAGAAGCTGCCTGGTTCTTTTGTACCACAGACATCCCCTCATTGTGGAGACCCTCAAACTGCTTTAGCTGATGCGAGTTAGCAGGTGTTGGTGGCGGCACAGGCTCAGTGACACCACGTCTCTGATCTCCGTCCCAGGGGTTGGCCTGTGAAGCAGTACCTGCAGAGATGCTGCAAGCTGTAAAGCCCTGTATCAGTGTCATGATATTTGTTCCCAGGTTACGTTGGCGCTGCTACAGTGGGTGCTGCCGCATGGTGGTTCATTGCTGCCGAGGGTGGTCCAAGAGTGTCCTTCTACCAGCTGGTATGTAGCCACCTTTCTTTCTGTACCTTAGATGCAGATGCATTGTAAACCTTCACATACAAGGGTGTCCTTGAGCTTTCTGTGGTTTGGATGTCTATCAAATACTCTTAAGAATTGAACAATAAGCAGTTGCATCTAAGGTTGTTCTGAAAGACCAGGGCTTCTCTGAGAAATGGGGTGAGATCCTGTGTGGGGCTGTGTTCTGGGCTTAGTGTGGAATTTGTGTGTGGACCTTGGAAATATGTCTTTGGCTGATTGGGAACTTGGTGTCGGGTTTTTGTTGCAGAGTCATTTCCTACAGTGTAAAGAGGACAACCCGGACTTCGAAGGCGTGGATTGTTCAGTCTTTGAATCCCCATATCCAATGACAATGGCGCTCTCTGTTCTAGTAACTATAGAGATGTGCAATGCCCTCAACAGGTCCGTGAGTCTTCGTAATGTGCTGGGGGGTTGTGTGTGTGTCATGGTTGATTGAGAGTCACAGGAAAGCTCTGCCCTCCCCAAAAGGAAGAACAAGCAGCACCGGTTTTAAGAGCTTAAGTCATCATCGCCTCCAGGAAGCAGTGGGAGTGCTTAGCCACATGTTCCTTAAGAGACAGCAGAGGCCAAAAATAGGGACTTCAGTGCCCACAGGGAAGGAGCTGTTGCCCTTCAGCATCAAGACAAACGGTATCATCTAATTATGCCAGTGACAAAAATGGAAATTTCAAAATAGCCTAAGTGTCAAGGGCAATTGAGAGCAGCTTTGAACCCACTGAAATAAGATCACTCTGCTGAAGCCTAGATTTAAAATGAAGTCTGTCCTACATCTGAACGCTATTCCTTAACTTTGCCACCATAGAAACTTAATACATTTAGGTCAGTGGGCAATGCCAAGGCAGCCATCACCTTATTGAAGTGTGGTTTCAAACAGACTCTGTCAGTGAGGGCACATGCTTTGCCCTTTGGCGGGCACGTTTCACCTGCCTCTCCTTGTTCCGCAGCTTGTCCGAAAACCAGTCCTTGCTGAGGATGCCCCCTTGGGAGAATATTTGGCTCGTGGGCTCCATCTGCCTGTCCATGTCGCTCCACTTCTTAATCCTCTACGTGGAACCCTTGCCAGTAAGCAGTGTGGGGAGCCCAGGCTGGGGCCTGTCTGCCTGCCTGTCCAGCAAGTTGGGGAGCTTGATGAGATTTCTTTCTGTTTCAGCTTATTTTCCAGATCACACCTCTGAATTTGACCCAGTGGCTGATGGTGCTGAAAATCTCCTTGCCTGTGATTCTAATGGACGAAACCCTCAAGTTTGTGGCCCGCAACTACCTAGAACCTGGTAAAGAGTGTGTGCAGCCTGCCACCAAACCCTGCTCGTTTTCGGCATGCACCGATGGGATCTCCTGGCCCTTTGTGCTGCTCATAATGCCCCTGGTGATCTGGGTCTATAGCACAGACACTAACTTTAGTGATATGTTCTGGTCTTGACTGACAGTTTTGCATAAAGAAGATGTTTAACTTAATCAATTAATTTTTTTTATTGTTTAAAGCAACTGTCTATTTCTGCTGAATTTTCACATGAACATATTGGCTGGTGAAGGAAGTTTCATATTCTAGATTTTGTTTTGCTTTTTCTGACTCCAGTGGGGCAAGATTTTCCTTTTTTATACACATAATTAAAGTGTCCATTGACATGTACAGAGAACTAACACTATTTTATGCAAATATTTTTTTGTAGATGAAAAAAAGCATGTACAGTGTTCTGTTTAATACTCATCCTTGTAAAAAAAAAAAATAGTTGAGCCAGCAGACATTGTCAGCAAATTAATTGGCAGCAGATTTTAGGAAATGAATGTTTGTGGTTTTTTTCTAAAACTAAATAGCATGTATTGTGTCTTTTGCATGATCATCTGGATTTAATCTGAGATCACAGTCTAATTTTTATTCATAAGCCAATTTTTCTGCACTGAGCAGAGTACTGCTACCTCAGTCAGTATTTTTTGGTTTGCCACCCCCTTCACCCCTCAGCCCTGTGTTCACCTCCACCCCCACCCCCACCCCGCTCGGCTGCTTCTCCTGTAGGGTTTTGATGGTTCTGTTTACATCAGTCTTAACAAGAGGTATGCTTGTTCTCGCTTGTGCAGAAAACATTGTTCCAGATTCAATCGACTGGGTTCATGTCCCCTCACATAGTTTTTAAGGTTATTTATTTAAATGTCTAATGTATTTTATTGTAACAGACATTGTTTTGCCAACATTGCCTATTTCAGTGGCACTTCACAATCTAGTTTAAAAAGAAAAATAAAACATTTTAAATGGACAGAGAAAAATAACTGTCTTGTTTTTAACTATCAAGTGGCTTAGTTCTCTTAGATTCTTCCTAGCTCAGAATTATTTACTGTGCTCAAGGGCAAGAAGGATCCTGTTCTGCTGCATAGGTCATTGTAAGAATTTTATTTTTGGTGTATAGGCACTAATTGTCATCTGTGATACATTTTTATGCAAGTTTCTGCTGGCCTATTTTAGCCTGGTGTAGAGGACATAAGGGCGTGTGTGTGTGTGTGTGTGTGTGTGTTTTGTAAAATCTGTAAATAGCACATGACCAAATGAACATATTGTATAGAACTATTTTTATTTGAATGTGGCACTAACCACCACCATTGTTACTATGATAAATGTTTGCGCATGTTCGAGATCAGTCTTACCAACAGTGTATAAGTCATTAACAGTCCTAACTGTGGTGTTTTCCTCCAATGCCTTCCAACATACATCAACTAACGTGAGTATTCCCTGGAATTTGGATGCTTTAGCCTAAAGGTGACTGCCACTAAGTGAGCTGGCTATATAGACACTGATGAGTCAGGCGCCCTGAGAGGAGCAGGTACACGATACACCACCTGTGGGCTGGAGCAGCTGCTCTAGACCCCGCCCACTGCCTTGGCCAGTGGCACAGCCAGGTGTCAGGGAGGACCTGGGGGAAGACAGAGTAGTTCTGCTTTGGTCAGACTGATGGGGATTCACAGAAAAACTTTTCTTTGATCTTTGTTAGCGGCAAGGACTGGTCCCGGAATCTTGCTACCTGGATCATTAAAAAGCAAAAAACAAGTGAAAGCAAGTAACTGAACCAGTAAACTCCTGCATCATTTTGTTCTCCCCACCAGCCACAGCACACAGCTTGCAGGATCTTAGTTCCTGAAATTGAAGTAGGGCTCCAGCAGTGAGAGCAGAGTCCTAACCACTGGTTTACTGGGGATTCCCTGGTTCATTTTTAAGTTGGCCATCTTTTTCCACCTTCTGGGCTATATCCTTTGTAGTGAAGACTTGTCTTTTCTCTCCGTGGTACCTTAAAGCAGTTACTGGACCATAGCCGAGCATTAGCCAAAGTGAAGGGCCTAGGCAGTACATATTCATGCTGGTAGCTCCCTCCACATGAAGCCCCCGGTGTTCTCGTAAGTACCTGAAGTCCCGAATAGAGGGCCACCTGAATAACATGTAAATGCTGAGAGTATGAGGAAAGTTAACAGGTATTAAGCAGAACAGGGTGCTGCCAAGTTTAAGAGGTTTCCGTGTATGGGGGGGTAGAAAGGGCACATGGAGACAGATTCTTAATGCAGAGTCCTGGTCTGGCTCCCTGAGGCCTCAGAGGGAAGGGAAGCTGGTTTGCTTGGCAGAGAATATAGGAGGTACGTTTTGCCAACTTTAGCATTATGAATTGCAGAAAGAAACAAGTTGAGCAGATCAAATGCAAGGAGTGTGTCTTGGCTGCAAACCAAACCAGGATGTCTGAGCTTGTTGGGTGGGGTGCTATTCAATGGTCAACTTTTCCTGACTCAGTTCCTTGATTTATTGGCCTTTACAAAAGAAAGTGAATGGCATGGGTGGCTGTTGCCCTGTGGTTTCTCAGCTTCAGGCCTGTCCAGCCCACAGGTGGTTTGGGCACCCACTTCTCTCAACCCAGACAGCTGGGAGTAGGGGAGACCTGGTGCTACAGAGCCCCTTAGCTGCTCTGCTTCAGGCTTTGCCGCCAAAAACCATGTCTGCACTGGCACTTCCTCGGTAGCTGGTGCTGCTGTGGGCACGTCCCTGGCCCCTGACTTGCTTGGAGCAGGAGTCCAACCATCCTCACCAGGTACCTGCAAGGAAGGCAGTGTCAGCCTCGCCCTTACTGCACATGGGCTCCCAGGCAGCTCCTGCCTGAAACTTGCTCCAGGCTCCTTCCTGTCAGCAAGTGGGCTGAAGGCCCATCCCCTCAGTGTTCTGTTTTTTGCCACCCCATACCCAGGCGGACCTCTTTCCTTTGCCCAGGAGATGGCACTCTTACATGTTCCCTAAATGGGGTGCCATGCCAGCAACTCATTCTGCATCTACATAGAGCAGGTGGCACGCCGGGTAGGAAGAGCTGCACAAGCTCAGACACAAGCAGGGCAGCTGCCACCTTCCCTCACAAGTGGCTGCTTCCACTTACCTCAGACTGGGGCTCAGACCCCCGAATGTCCATGTGGTGGGCAGACCTCAGGAATATCTGAGACCACAAGCCTCAGCTCAGTGTCTGCCAGGCCCACTGTGTTCGCAGTGTGCATACAGCACACTGAAAAACCACCACCCAGCAGTTAACAATTGAGGGTAATCTGTAGCCTTTTTTCTTGAAAGGGAACAGTGATAAGCAGTTCCCCTTCTACAACTGGGCCTGGCTGGGCCTGCAGCCCAGAGGCTGGTCCCAAGGGAAGGAAGGGATGGGAGCTAGAGGCTTGGCGCTGATTACCATACTGCTCACTCTGCTTGGCCTTCCTCACCCCCTGCACTGCTAACCAAGGACTTTCTCAACTTCTATTAAACCTGAAGCGATTAAGTGTCTGCCTGGTGGGATACTCCGTAGCCAAATGACAGGAGGGGCCTGTGAGTTAATCAGAAATGCTGGTCAGAAATCTTAAAAGATCAAACTGAACATTCCTTTTCATCTGTCACTATTAATCCCAGTCTTAAGTTAGTTATTCTAACATTTCCTCCCCATATTTCATAAAGCTGATTTCCTCTCTCTTTCCTTTTCAGCAATACTGGAGTAACCGCTTCCTAAACCATTTTGCAGAAATTTAAGGGTGTTCGGTTGCGTGCATGTGCGTTTTTTAGCAACACATCTACCAGCCCTCTGCATGATTGATGTTGGGGGAAAAGAAAATTAGAAAAAAGTCCCCAACTTGTTGTGTATTATGTGGAGGAAACGTGTATTACCAGTGGGGTTTTAGTTTTTGAATCAAAATAGTAACAAATGTACAATTTAACTTAATGAATCAGAAAGCCTCTCCAGAGAAGTCTGGTTTCTTTGCTGCAAGAAGAATGAGGTTCTGAAACCTTATCCAAGAACTTAGAAGCCATCAGCCAAGTCTCCGTATTTCTCTGTGCAAAATATCATAGCTTAAATAAATGTACAATATTCAATTGTAATGCATGCCTTCAGTTGTAAGTAGCCAGATTTCTCTATGGTGTCATTGAAACATGCTACTTTTTAATTGGCCCTGTACAGTTTGCTTATTTATAAATTTATTGAAAACACTACAGGTGTTGAATGGTTAAAAATGTAGGCTTCCAGTTCATAACTTCAGTTATTTTCCTGAGTGTGCAAACAGCTATTTTGCACTGTATTAAATGTAACTTATTTAATGAAATCAGAAGCAGTAGACAGATGTTGGTGCAATACGAATTATTGTGATGCATTTATATCAATAAAAGGCTAAATGTCAGTTTATCACAACGCATGTTTGACTTTAGACTGTAAATAGAGATCAGTTTATTTCTGTGCTGGTAACAAGCATTGCACAGACATGGTTTCAGGTAAATAAATCTATTCTACGATAAGTTTGCAGCGTGGTGTGGACTGTTCTGCGGGAGGCGCAGGTGGGTGGTGTGCGCTGAGGGCCTCCGGCCCTGGCACCTGAGCAGTTGTGCCCTTGGGCAGACCAAAGGGACAGGAAGTTCCTGTTGATGCTCTGCCAGGAGGAGAGCAGAGGGGTAGAAGGTCTGCTTGTGTGACATGAGAGCTATAAAACATTCCTGCCCTGGCTCTACTGTCTCAGGTATCAGGAAGCATGTGTGTCATCAGTGGTGTTTTCACAGGTAATTAACATGATTTAAAAGCTGTCAGCAGCTTGGGAACTATAGTGATGGAGAGATGCTTGTAATACTCATATCAAAATTAAAATTCTGTACGTTCCCACTAGATACTAGTGTAACTAGTATCTAAGTAACTAGAACTAAGTAACTCCACTATACTCATTTTTTAAGTAACTGAAATTAACCTTACATATATGGGGAAAAAAGACTTGGGGGGTGGGGTGGGGGGCAATATTTGACTTAACATCTATTTTGATGTCCCAGAAGTGTTGGCTTCCAGAATCACGCTCACCATCTACCATTGCCCACAACTTAGTGCTGGTCTGGAGAGTCACCACAGTCAGACAAAAGAAGGGAAAATAAATGCCTAGGGGTAAACA